ATGTCCTTTACTTTCAGGTTATTTACATATTATTACACCAATGTCCTTTACATTCAGGTTATTTACACCATGTCCTTTACTTTCAGGTTATTACATGTCCTTTACATTCAGGTTATTTACACCATGTCCTTTACTTTTATTACACCATGGGTTATTTACACCACGTCCTTTACTTTCAGGTTATTTACACCATGTCCTTACTTTTTATTTACACCATGTCCTTTACTTCAGTTATTTACACCATGTCCTTTACATTCAGGTTATTTACACCATGTCCTTTACATTCAGGTTATTTACACTTATTTAGGTTATTTACACCATGTCCTTTACATTCAGTTATTTACACCATGTCTTCATTCAGGTTATTTACACCATGTCCTTTACTTTCAGGTTATTTTACACCATGGGTTATTTACACCATGTCCTTCACATTCATGTTATTTACACCATGTCCTTTACATTCAGGTTATTTAGTCCTTTACATTCAGGTTATTTACACCATGTCCTTTACTTTCAGGTTATTTACACATGTTATTTACCCATTCCTTTACATTCAGTTATTTACACCATGTCCTTTACTTCAGGTTATTTACACCATGTCCTTTACTTCAGGTTATTTACACCATGTCCTTTTCAGGTTATTTACACCATGTCCTTTACTTCAGGTTATTTCACCATGTCCTTCACATTCAGTTATTTACACATGTCCTTTACATTCAGTTATTTGATGTCCTTTTACTTCAGGTTATTTTACACCATGTCCTTTACTTTACACCATGTTATTTCAGGTTATTTACACCATGTCCTTTACTTTCAGGTTATTTACACCATGTCCTTTATGGTTATTTACACCATGTCCTTTACTTCAGGGTTATTTACACCCTTTACATTCAGGTTATTTATGTCTTCACTTCAGGTTATTTACACCATGTCCTTACTTTCAGTTATTTACACCATGTCCTTTACATTCAGGTTATTTACACCATGTCCTTTACTTTCAGGTTATTTACACCATGTCACATTCAGTTTATTTACACCATGTCCTTTACATTCAGTTATTTACACCATGTCCTTTACTTCAGGTTATTTACACCATGTCCTTTACTTTCAGGTTAGGTTATTTACACCATGTCCTTTATATTCAGGTTATTTACACCATGTCCTTTACTTTCAGGTTATTTACACCATGTCCTTTACTTTCAGGTTATTTACACCATGTCCTTTACTTTCAGGTTATTTACACCATTCCTTTACATTCAGGTTATTTACACCATGTCCTTTACTTTCAGGTTATTTTACACCATGTCCTTTACATTCAGGTTATTTACACCATGTCCTTTACTTTCAGGTTATTTACACCATGTCCTTCACATTCAGTTATTTACACCATGTCCTTTACATTCAGGTTATTTACACTATGTCCAAATCCGACCGCGACGAGGCTCCGCTCAGGTTCTCGTTGCCTTTGGTCATTTATTTTGGTCAGTTATGGTGTATGGCAGCGACCCTCTTAGGTATTAAGTCTTCATGGCCACGAGGGACCAAATTGCATCCGTCGTCTTGTCGAAAGTCCTTTTAGCTTTGCTTGTCTTCTCATTCGCCGTGCGTTGAACTTCTCCTTTCCGCCTGTCCTCTGTGGTACTCCCCGTTGTTCTAAAATGTATCTCCTTGCTGTTTCTAAAATATTTTCTTGTGTTCCTGCTGTTCTAAAATATGTTTTTTCTTCTGTTAACCTGTTCCCTTGTTCCCTGCCCCTTGTTCTGTGGTGTTTTCTGTTACCTTGTTCCCTGCTGTTCTAAAATATGTTTTCTTCTGTTACCTTGTTCCTGCTGTTCTAAAATATGTTTCTTCTGTTACCTTGTTCCCTGTTCTACTATGTTTCTTCTGTTATTTTCCCTGGCTGTTCTAAACTGTTTCGTGTTTCTTCTGTTACCTTGTTCCCTGCTGTTCTAAAAATAAGTTTCTTCTGTTACCTTGTTCCCTGCTGTTCTAAAAACTGTTTTCTGTTACTTGTTTGCTGTTCTAAAACCTTGTCTTCTGCTGCTTCTAAAATGTCTCCTTGCTTCTTCTGTTTATCTAAGATCTATGCACATGATGCTATCCACTTCAAAAGAGGATTACTAGCTTTTTGATAGTCGTTCCTTCATAAACGCATTTACTCTCTCATTTGATTCTGATTAAAAATTATACATTATTATTAAAAAAATTAATACATTATTATTAAAAATTATACATTATTAAAAATTATACATTATTATTAAAAATTATACATTATTATTATTATACATTATTATTTTCAAACTTCATTATCAAATGAGGTGAAATTCCGTCCGCCTCGATGTCCCCAAAACACAGTCAGCTCATTTCCCATTCTCGCGTCCCTTCCCTGTTCGACATGGAAGCAAATATCGAATATAAATGAAGTAATGTTTGTTCTGCAGGCATCAAGAACTGGGGGATCGCGTGTCGAGAGTAGCTTCCTTTCTTGCCGTCCTTGCCGCTATATCCTAGTGGCTTTTCCGCTGTTCTCGGGTGGCTGTTTGGCTTTTCTTGTGGCTTGGTGGCTTTTTCCGCTGTTCTTGGGTGGCTTTTTCCGGCTGTTCTTGGGTGGCTTTTTCCGCTGTTCTGGGTGGCTTTTTTCCCGGGTTCTTTTGGGTGGCTTTTTACCCGCTGTTCTTTGGTGGCTTTTCCGCTGTTCTTGGGTGGCCTTTTCCGCTGTTCTCGGGTGGCTTTTTCCGCTGTTGTTGCGGATGCGGCTTTTCCGCTGTTGTTGGGTGGCTTTTCCGCTGTTTTTGGGTGGCTTTTCCGCTGTTGTTGGGTGGCTTTTCGCTGTTTTGTTGGGTGGCTTTTTCCGCTGTTGTTGGGTGGCTTTTCCGCTGTATGTTGGGTGGCTTTTCGCTGTTCTTGGGTGGCTTTTTCCGGCTGTTTGTTGGTCTTTTCCGCTGTCTAGGTGTCTTTTCCGCTGTTCTTGGGTGTCTTTTCGCTGTTTTTGGTGTCTTTCCGCTGTTGTTGGTTGGCTTTTCCGCTGTTCTTGGATGGCTTTCCGCTGTTTCCGGTGGCTTTTCCGCTGTTCTGGGTGGCTTTTTCCGCTGTTCTTGGGTGGCTTTTCGCCAGCTGTTGTTGGGTGTCTTTTCCCGCTGTTTTTTGGGTGGCTTTTCCGCTGTTGTTGGGTGAGCTTTTTCCGCTGTTCTTGATGGCTTTTCCGCTGTTCTTGGGTAGCTTTTCGGCTGTTCTTGATGGCTTTCCGCTGTTCTTGGGTTGGCTTTTCTGCTGTTCTTGGGTGGCTTTCGCTGTTCTTGGATCTGGCTTTTCCGCTGTTCTTGGTTAAGCTTTTCCGCTTGTTCTTGGATGGCTTTCCGCGTTCCTTGGGTGCTTTTCTGCTGTTCCTTGGGTGGCTTTTCCGCTGTTCTTGGGTGGCTTTTCCGCTGTTCTTGGGTGGCTTTTCCGCTGTTGTTGGGTGGCTTTTCCGCTGTTTCTTCTTTTCCCGCTTTTCCGCTTTTACTTTTTCTGTTCTCGCTGTTTTTGGGTGGCTTTCCCGCTGTTCTTGGGTGGCTTTTCCGCTGTTCTTTTCCGCTGATTGGCTTTTCCGCTGTTCTTGGATGGCTCGTGTTCTTGGGTGGCTTTTCCGCTGTTGTTGGGTGGCTTTTCCGCTGTTGTTGGTTGGCTTTTCCGCTGTTGTTGGGTGGCTTTTCCGCTGTTGTTGGGTGGCTTTTCCGCTGTTTCTTTTCGCTGTTCTTGGGTGGCTTTTCGCTGTTGGATGGCTGCTGCTTTTCCGCTGTTCAAGTGTGTTTCTCAGTGAGCCATTTGAAGGTTGGATCAGCGGCCACTTGCCTGCACAATTCACCCGTTCTTTTCCGCGCGGTGTGAATGGCACTGCAGGCTGTGCGGCCACACGCCCGTCCGGTAAGCTCCTTTTTCGTCTCTCCGCCCTCTGTCTCTCAGGGTCTGTCTATCTGTCTCTCTCCTCTCTCTCTCTCTCTCTCTCTCTCTCTCTCTCTCTCTCTCTCTCTCTCTCTCTCTCTCTCTCTCTCTCTCTCTCTCTCTCTCTCTCTCTCCTTCTCTCTCTCGCCAGATGTTCGAGGCCCAAGGTAGGACGGAGCTGTTGCAGAACGGTGTCATTGCAGGTTTGTACCGCTGCAGAACGTTGTCACGGCAGGACTGTGCAGCTGCAAGAGCGTCTCGGACTGAGTGGACGCCCTTCCTAACCTCACCGTGGTCCAGCCGCCAACCTCTGCGCGGCTCCAGACCAAGCCCAGCTCCAGACCAGTGGCAGCTCCTCCGCTTTCGCTTTAACTCGCTCAAACATTCAGAATCTATTCTCCTGGAACAGTCGGGGCTTTCTTCCGCTGAACGTCAGTCATCATATAAATTTTAGGGGGTAGGGGGTGGGGGGATAGGGCTGGGGGTAGGGGGTTGGGGGGGATAGGGCTGGGGGTAGGGGGGATAGGGGGATAGGCTGGGGTAAGGGGGTGGGGGTAGGGCTGGGAGTAGGGGGGTGGGGGGATAGGGCTGGGGTAGGGGGGGGGGTGATAGGGCTGGGGGGAGGGGTGGGGGGATAGGGCTGGGTTAGGGGGTGGTGGGGGCAAATGGAATGTCATCTCTTATATACTCGCTTTTTCGGTCACATCATTATCCAGTTTCACTTCCTCACTCCAGAATTCTGTCAGGTAACTTTTGACACGAACAGCCAGGAATTATAATTTAATCGACGAAAGAAAAATGACGAAAAGCGGCAAAGAAAAAATAGAAGGCTAAAAAAACTGTCAATTGGCAACGAGAATATTAACAAAGATAAGGAAACGCGACGGACAATTAAACAAAGAAAATAGGAAAAAAGAAAAAGAAATAAAGAAAGAAAAAAAAGGCCAGAAAAGATGAAAAATAGAATAAAAACAGACAAGGAAAGCGGCGCTTGTCTTTTCAGTTGAATACTAAATCCTTCATAAATCTGTAAAAGAAGAAGAAGAAGAAGAAAAATAGATGTCTGAAAAATTATATAGTTTGAAAATATAGTTTGAATTTTGCGAGTGACGTTAATTTTTTTTCTCAGAATCTCATCTATTCTATTAAAACGTAATTTTGATATTTCCGTGTCTGGTATATTTCGTAAATATTTTTTTTCCCACAAAATAAGACGAACTCCGTCTTTTACGAAACATTAACAATTGAGTTTACACAAGGAAGCAGTTCTGAAGTTATATATATATATATATATATATATATATATATATATATATATATATATATATATATATATATATATATATATATATATATATATATATATATATATATTTCCATTGTCCTGGTTATGAATAAGCAAATAGCAAATGTCATACACCCTTGGAGGGGAAGTCACTCCAGTAACTTATGAAAGAATATCTAGATTGTATCTTTAGTAATATTTTTCTGATAGCGTATTGTATATGAAAGGAAGGTAATTCTTTGTTGATCTTCTGAAAGAAAGAGAAAGAGAGAGAAGAGAGAGAGAGAGAAGAGAGAGAAGAGAGAGAGAGAGAGAGAGAGAGAGAGAGAAGAGAGAGAGAGAGAGAGAAGGAGAGAGAGAGAGAGTTGAGAGAGAGAGAAGAGAGAGAGAGAGAGAGAGGCTTTGAGAGTATTGAGATGAATTGAGTAAGAGAGAGAGAGAGAGGTAGAGGAGTTGTGAAGGTTTAGGTATTGAGTTATGAAAAGTTAATATAGTTAAGAGTACTATATTGAGACAGAGATTGATTGTACAGAGATGAGATGTAGGTAGTGATGATTAGAGGAGAGATTGTGAGTAGGTAGATGATAGAGTAGATAAGAGGAGAGAGGATGAGAGTTAGATGACGGTAGAGAGAAGAGAGAGAGTAATGGAGAAGATGTAGAGAGAGAGTTAGAGTAGTAGTAGAGAGGTAGAGTAGGTTAGAGATGAAGAAAGAGATGCGATAGTGATTATGATGAGAAGTTGTAAGAGAGAGAAAAAGGTGAAAATGAAAGAGAAGAGAGAGATAGATTAGATAGATAGATAGATTAGATAGATTTAGATAGAGAGAGAGAGAAGAGTAGAAGAGAGAGTAGTAAGTAGAGAGAGAGAGGAGAGAGAAGAGAGTAGATGAGATGAGTAGAATATATATAGTAGAGAGAGAGAAGATGAGAGAGAGAGAGAGCGAGCGAGGCGAGATGAAGAAGATGAGAGGCAAATGAAAGAATGTAGAGAGAGAGAAGAGTAGAGAGAGAGAGAGAGAGAGAGAGAGAGAGAGAGAGAGAGAGAGAGAGAAGAGAGAGAGAGAGAAGAGGAGATGAGAATGATGAGATAAGTATCAGGAAATTGAGAGAGAGATGATACAAGATAGTTAGAGGAGAGATGATTGTAGTAGAGCGAGGGAGTAAAGTAGAGAGATAGAGAGATGTAGAGAGTGTTGAGGTAAATGCATGGATAGATGTTATTGTAGAGATAGAGATGATGAGAGGAAATGAAAAGAGAGAAAGAGAGAGAGAGATAGATTTAGATAGATCAAGATAGATAGATAGATAGAATAATAGAAGGAGAGAGAGAGATGAGGAAAGCGAGAGAGAGAGTTTAGAGAGAGAGAGAAGAAGAGAGAGAGAGAGATCGAGAGAGAGAGAGAGAGAGAACGAGAGATAGTAGAGAGAATAGATCGATTATAGATGAGAGAGAGAGAAGTAGAGTAAGGAATGATTAAAAGAGAGGAGATGTAGGATGATATGAGAGAGAGGAGAAGAGGAGAGGAGAGATGATGGATGGAGATATGAGAGAATGATGGAAGTAGAGAGGAAGAGTAGAGAGAGAGATGCCAGTCAAGAGCAAGAGACAAAAAAAAAAAATAAATAAAAAAAAAAGAAAGAAAGAAAATAAGAAAGAAAGAGAGAGAGGGATACACAAGGACAGAGACAAAGAAAGAAAGAGCGAATGAGAGGAACGGAAAGAGAGAAAACACAAATAAGAACCTACACATAAACTACAAGGAGGTCTGCCCATAAACCCTTGATAGAGAACCCCGAAGAAAACCAAACACATAAACTCGTGTGACTGTTGTTTCTTAAGATAAAGTACAACATTGATACAGGAGAAAATGATAAAAGAAAAAGAGAGAAAAAAAATGTCGTGATATATTAGCAATAATTTGATATAAGTCTTAGAAGATACACGAAAGGTGCTCTTTAAATACATAAATAGATTAATAACTTATTTTTAAAAAGGAATATATATATATATATATATATATATATATATATATATATATATATATATATATATATATATATATATATATATATATACTAGGTAGTAGAAAAAATAGAAAGAAAATCGGTAGATACATAGATATATAAACAGGGAAATAAATGATTAAATACATAACGAAACAATATAATAACAAACAAACAAAAAACAAGTAACAGGCAACGTATCTCTCCTCCCTCCATTCCCACCTTCCGGATAATCGGTATATATATTCCGGAAAACTGGAATGCTCTGACAAGTTTTTTTTTTTTTTTTTCTCCTTTTTTTCTCCTTCTTGTTCTTTTCTTCTTCTCTTGTTCTCCTTCTTCTCCTTCTTCTTTTTTCTTCTTCTTCTTCTTCTTCTCCTTCTTCTTCTTCTTCTTCTTCTTCTCCTCCTCACTTCTTTTTTTTTCTCTTTATTATTTTTTATTTCACCCCCGAGATTATCTTCTTCTCTCCTTTTTTTCTTTTTTATTTTTTATCTTTCCGCCGTTTCCGAGATTAGCCTTCTGTCAGCTGGTCAGAGCGGGTTGTCTCACCAGCTGATCTTCGCCGGCTAAGTGGATGTGGGCTGCTGCGATGTGGGTATTTATGTTTTCTCTGGGAGTATTTTGGTGGAGGGGGGAGGGTGGTGGATGATGCTGGGGGGGGGGGGGGGGTGGATGCGGGTAGTTAATTTTTTGGTGGAGGGGGAGGATGATGCTTGGGCGGGGGGTATGCGGGTAGTTAGTGCTGGTGATGTGGATGACAGAATGTGGTTTTTGGGTGGTGGAATGATGGTATGTGGATGGAGGACTATGAAGATACGGATCCTCCTCCTCCTCCTTTTTTATTATAGATAATAATGATTGATAAATGATAATAATAATCATTATCATTATTATTACGGAACAAGAAAAAAATAGGCACATTTCCTCTCTCTCTTCTCACCCTCCTCCTCTCCCTCTCGCCTCCTACTTCCTTTTCTTCCCTTCCCTGCTCTTCAATTTACATTCCTTCTCCCGCCCTGCCACTCCCTCTCACTCCCAAATTTCCTTAAATTCCCTCCTTCCTTCTCCCTTTAAGCCCTGCATCTACTCCCTCCTTCTCTCCTCGTCTTTCTCTTTCTCATTTCTTTCTTTCTCATTTCATTTCATTTCTTTCTCCTTTCTCCAAAAACCCCCACCCTTTCCCCTCCTCCCTTCCCCCCCCATGCCCCCATGACCCCTCCAAGCCCTGCATCAGCTCCTTCTCACATCCCTTCTCTTCCTCTTTCATTCCTTCGCCTCTTATCCCTTTTTACTTCGCTTCTCCTGTCTCTCCTTTTGCCTCCTTCTGTAGACCCCTCTGTGCCCCCTCTCCTTTTCTCCTCTTCTCTTTCAGCCCCCATCCCCCTGTCCCCTCCCCCCGTTTCCCCCCAATTTCCCCATCTCTTTCTATCTTCTCTTCTTAACCTTCCCCATCGGATAGTCGTGTAAAATAATAAATTTACATAAACTAAACGGTCTAACTACTTAACATGCAGTGTTAACTACTTCACTACTACCCCCTTCCTCCTTCTCTCCTCCTCCCCTCCTCCTTCTCCCCCCTCCCTCCCCCGCACCTTGCCTCGAAAACAATTATGATAACAGTAACAACTAGAAGGACTCAGACTTGACTCCGCATCAATCATTATTTTATAAATTATTATTATTAACATTATTGAGAACATTACATAATTTATATTCGCTCTTTCTCAAGTACACAGGTGACGCCCATAACATCATCATAATAATAATTACCCTTATTTTTAATGACGTAGGGGTAACTGATGCAATCCTTTAAAAAAAATCATAAGTCCGGACCATTGTGTAATGATTGTGTAAGGATAAAGCTAAAAATAGGATTCTAGTATGTTCGTAATATGATGCCCTTATATGTGTCTTTGTTAATAATATGATGATGATAATGATAATAATAATAACAATAATTATTACTATTACTATTATTATTATCATCATTCTTCATTGATACTTTATTGTTATTATCATATCTAACAATGTTGTTATTATTATCATTATCATGTTATTATCATTATCATTATCATTATTATTATCCTTATTTTATTATCATTATCATCATTATCATTATCATTATTATTATTATTATATCATTTATTACTATCATCATTACCATTATCATACTATAATTCGAAGATATTACCATATTACTAACATTGCATTATTCCCTTTCTTACTATTCTCACCATAACCATCATCATCATCATCATCACAATCCTCACCCACAACCCTGCAACAACACCCACAACCACCCGCAAACACCACCCCCCTGCAACGCACAAGATGCCACCGTAAAACTCCCGACGCAGAAGCAATAATGTGCTCGAGGCTTTTCGCAATTGCAACATGATATGCCGTCCTGAGTGTTTTGACAAGGGTACCGGAAGTTGCAAGGGCATCCTGTGTGCTCGCCGTCATTTGTCTTAATGAAGTTGGGCTTCATTTCGCTTCGTAAATTTCTCTGTCGCTAACGAGGGCGATCGCCAACGCAACAAGAGGTTTAGATTATTTGTTATTGTTATTATTATTATTAATTTGTTATTTGTTGTTGTTGTTGTTGTTATTATTAATTATTATTATTATTATTATTATTATTATTATGTATTATTATTATTATTATTATTATTATTATTATTATTATTATTATTATTATTATTATATTTGTTATTATTATTATTATTTTATTATTATTATCATTATTATTATTATTATTATTATTTTATTATTATCATTATCA